AAATAATCCATAGAGGTTGATATGCCACTAAACAAAATCACCCAATCAACAATACATATTTATAGTAAAATGACCAACGATATATTTTATCTGTGGTTGAAGGCATATAATTGCGTTCAAAATATTTAGATTTCGGCATTAAATAACACATAGAGGTTGATATGCCACTAAACAAAATCAACCAACCAACAATACATATTTATAGTAAAATGACCAACGATAAATTTTATCTGTGGTTGAAGGCATACAACTGAGTTCAAAATATTTAGATTTCGGCATTAAATAACCCATAGAGGTGTTGATATGCCGCTAAACAAAATCAACCAACCAACAATACATATTTATAGCAAAATGACTAACGATATATTTTATCTGTAGTTGGAGGCATATAATTGCGTTCAAAATATTTAGATTTCGGCATTAAATAACCCATAGAGATTGATATGCCACTAAACAAAATCACCCAACCAACAATACATATTTATAGTAAAATGACCAACGATATATTTTATCTGTAGTTGAAGGCATATAATTGCGTTCAAAATATTTAGATTTCAGCATCAAATAACGCAGAGAGGTGTTGATATGCCACTAATCAAAATCACCCAACCAACAATACATATTTATAGTAAAATGGCCAACAATTCATTTTATCTGCAGTTAAAGGTATGCAATTACGGTCAAAATATATTTAGTTGAAGACATAAAATTGTGTACAAAATATTTAAATTCCAGCATTAATAAACCATAGAGGCTGATATTCTGCTTTTTGCTGGCTTGTGTACGCACTTCCCAACTTATTTCGGGCGTTAATAACGTCGGTGTTTGAAATTGGCAATAACACGCCGTTCCCTTAAATAGCCACAACAAACATGGCAGACTCGAGATGTGAGTCCGCTTAAAGAAACGGCAAGAACCAATATATTTAATTATTTGTACAAACAAATGATAATGTACTTGCAACAAATGTATAAAAGTGACATAGACAATAATGTGTGTAACAAATGAATGTGAAAAACTTTTTGGTCCGAAGTATTTGTAGTGAGTGAATGTACATACGTACGTGTGTGTGTGCGTATGTATTGTTCAAGCGTTTCCCAAAAGGGAACGCGTTCTCCGCGTGACGTTACATGTTGACGAATAAGCGGATAAAAGAGTGATAAAAAATTATTTATAGTCCTGAGAGCGTCCCCTTGTAGCGGTTTCGAAAATTAGGAGGCGATAACCCGATATGCTAAACAAAATCAGCCAAAAAAAAAACAACCAAACGAAGTTATAGACAGAGTTTCTTTTCTGAGTTTTACATCTTGATTTTCTTTGAGCTGGATCTTCGTCCAGTTTCGTCCGGTGCCACTGCATGTTACATGACCAAACCAGCAACTTAAAAACTTGATCCGCATTTTTAAATAACCTCGCCAGGTCGAGACTTTCATGTAGATGTCATACATACGCCAAATTCAGAAATATCTAAACATATCTAAACATCCATCTGTATACGATCGCTTTCTCTGATTCTTCCTTGGAAACGGCTTCCAGAGAATGAAGTCTGTATTCCTTAACGAGGATATTCCTTCTTCAATATAATGGACAGAATCACAAAGACATGAGCAATTTAAACAAGAACAACGAAAACGGCCATGAAAATGGCTCCTCGAACAGAAAATAATGACATCATTAAGTTTCAACACTACTTCAAACAAAAGACTTTATCCCATAAAGCAACGTTGAGACTGGGAAATATCTAGATGAGTGACTGCTTCGGAATACCAAGTGCTCTAAAATTGGATATGCGGGTGGTGTAATGAAAAACAGCTCGGAATTATTAATCGAAGACCCGAGTTCCAATTCTGGTTGGGTTCGTTATATTCACCTACACGCAAATACCATTGGGAAAGGCATGAATCCACTTCTGATCCCAGCTATGGGTTATTTAGGGAAGACTTGTAACACTAAACCATTATTATCCACACACACACACACACACACACACACACACATATATATATATATATAAAATATTAGTGGTCAATATATATATGTTTGTGTGTGTGTGTGTGTAAATTTTCAGGAGGATAGAATCAAGGTAGAGCTCAATGTCCAGGAGCGAGTAAGAATATAATATAAAAGGCTCAAGCCCTAATAATTCCATAGTTATAATTTATTACATTGGAATCGTAATCACGATCTAAATCTTCAGACCTACAAATTGAAAAATAAATCGGAAAATATAACTCCGGGTATAAAAAAACAAAATTTTAGTGAGAGTGTATGTATGGGAGTGAGAAACAAGTGTGAGAGGGAAATGTATGAAAGCTCTAGAGAGAGGGTGTAACGGAAGAAAAAAGAAAAGGGAAGGCCTAAAGGTGAAGGTAGGGATTAAAATTTAAAAGAGAGAAGTTTTAAAGAGAGGAGTTAAATAACGGTATAAATGAGTGAGATACAGATAAATATGAATTATTCTCACATGTATAATTCACTATATATATATATATATATATATATATATATATATATATATATATATATATATATAAATGCCTGACGATGAATAAAGGATTATTCGAAAGTGCTTACATTTTAAAAAAATATAAACTGAAAACAACAGACAACAGTTTCATAGATGAGGATCTATTTTAATGCATACATTATATACTACTAGCGATGTGATATCGCCAATAATAGCATTGATATTGCTGATTGATTCTATGCGTGATTATTTCTTTGTATATAAATTATATGCTGCCTAATGTTTTATGTTTATAAAAAACTATCGATCCGCAGTACAAAAAAATTCCTATAAAAAAGTACTACTAAGACATAACACTATATTAATTGAACTATATACTTAGTTCATGACATATTAACTGAAAACACTTGTAAAAATAGAATACGTGGATTTGCCACATCACAAGAAAAGTTCAAATAAAATTCTCACTTCAAATTTTGAAAAACTTAGCGTTGCGTCTTTGCACGTTCCGATATTGTACACAGCCGTCAATAATAGCACATTCTCAAAAAAAACATCTTTCGGTCTACAAACAATTATTTCGTCTCCAAGTTTTGATTTTATAAGGAAAAAATGCCTGAGGATGAATAAAGGATTATTAGAAAGTACTTGCATTTTAAATAAATATATAAACTGGAAACAACAGACAACAGTTTTATAAATGAGGATCACATCGTTCTATGGATTAACAGTATTTTAATGCATACATTATACACTACTAGCGATGTGATATCGCCAATAATAGCATTAATATTGCTGATTGATTCTATGCGTGATTATTTCTTTGTATATATATATATATATATATATATATATATATGTGTGTGTGTGTGTGTGTGTGTGTGTGTGTGTTTGTGTGTGTGTGTTAAGTTGAATGTAGAAGGTCATTTACCTTGACTTTTAGTTGAGATTCTCGTGGTGCAAATTTTGCCAATTTATTTCCGAGTACCTGCCTTTTACTTCTGACTTTATCCCTTTATCAAAATCAGATGAACGCCTGTGTCTGGGTTCATATTCCAACAACGTTTCTCCAAAATTAAACTTTGCAAACTAATTGGCTCGTTAACCATAAACATTATATATTTTTTCTAAATGTCTCCATATTATTATTCTCGACCCTGAACACCCATGACATTAATCGACGTTAATAAACTTTCAATCCCACCATTAGTGGGGTTAAGAAATTTATTTTATCCACGGTGTACGCTGCTACTCCCGTTTTTTTTTTAAATAAAGCATGTTAGTGTATTTCTACTTAACTACCGGTTACGGCCACATCACGTTGAAATACCTCTTCTCTTCCTATCTATGGGGTAATTAGTAAGGTTTGTATCAATAATCATTATCTAAAAATAAAAAAAAAACATATAACTTACATTCTAAAAATATTTTCGACTTCAAATTACCTGGGTTGATAAACCGTAAAAAACAAACCAATCCATCAATTTTAACTGCCACGTGTCATGAGTAATGAGTATGATGGGTTTGTTATTACAACTTGTTTTCTAAGATGAAATTTACTTTTAACTCTTCCTAACATGTCGACCACATTCACCACACGTTATGATAAATGGTCACGATGTCATTTTGGAATCTGATAAGCAGCGCGGAACAGACTTGAGGAGTTTGAGCAAATGGATAGCAGAACTGGGTTTGAGAGAAATAAAAAGACAAAACGGACAGGAAGATGGGGAGGGCCATTTTGAATTTTTATGATGGAGTCTGAGTTGAATCCATCATTACTTTTAATTCCAGGTCAGAGTTACTGTTTTGGAAACGTTCATCTTTGTCTAAATGTCCCTATATTGTTATTCTTGTGCGTGAACTTCCACGAGATTATTTGACGTAAATTCACTTTCAATCCCTCCAGTAATGAGGCTAAGAAATGTTATTCTTTAATCCGCAGATTACGCTGCTATTATCGTGCAAAAAAAAATAAAGCGTTGAGATCCAAAGACGTATTGGGATGACCAAAAGATGCTTTCCAAAAGCTAGGCAAAATATTAAGAGATGGAGAAAAAAATCGTTGGAAACAAAGAAAAGAGTACTGAACTGTTCCATGATATCTGTCCTCCTATATGGCAGCGAATGCTGGACAATCTCCTCAAAGATGAAGAAGAGACTTGAAACGTGGTTCTACAGAAGGATGCTGAGGACGCCATGGACTAAACATGAGAGCAACGGCGAGGATTTGGAGAGAATGGAAACAAAAAGGAAACTTATACTTAACATCAGGAAGAGGCAGTTGAAATATTTGGAGCACGTAATGAGGAAAGAGGGCTTGGAAAATCTGATACTCACAGGACAGATTGAGGGTTGAAAGGACAGCGGAAAGCAGCGCGGAACAGACTTGAGGAGTTTGAGCAAATGGATAGCAGAACTGGGTTTGAGAGAAATAAAAAGACAAAACGGACAGGAAGATGGGGAGGGCCATAATTGCCTACGTCATGAAGAAATACGGCATGTAAAAAGTGTATTTGATCTTAACTGCAATTTACGGCCACATCACTTTGAAACACTAGTTCTCGTACGATCACCGAAGTTAAGCAACGTCGAGACTGGGCAGTACCTAAACGGGTGACTGCTTGGGAATGCCAGTTGCTGAAAGCTTGGATGTGCGGGGGTGGGTATAATGGAAAATGCCTCGGAATTGTTAATCGTAGAGCCGAGTTCCAATTCATGTTGGATTCTGTCACTTACGCTATGGGTTAATTAGTAAGATTCTTATCACTAAACCATTTATATGTACCCCCTCAAAAAATCTAAAACTATTTTCTGGCTTTAAATAACCTGCAAAAGGTTGATAAACCGTAAAAAAACGAACAAATAAATCTTAACTGTCACTAGTAGTGAGGATGATAGATTCGTTATCAAGATTTGTTTACTAAGATGAAATTTACCCAGCCTAACATGGCGGCCAGATTCGCCACACGGTTTGGTAAATGGTCACGATGTCATTTTGGAATCTGATAATATCGAATTGAAGAATGATGTTATTAAAAATGAAATTTTATAGTGCTTTGCTTATTTAGCCGCCTACAGGTTAAGTTTATTCAGAAATATACAAACTTTTATTATGGCCAACAACCTTTCCAGTTTGGATGAACTTCAACGATCTTTAAAAAAAAAAATTATAGATTCATTGAATAAAGAATTCATTGCCAAAAGAGACTGAGGAGATACTGAGGAGGAGTAAATGTTTAGAGGGTGAGGGAAAAGATTTTAATGGAAACAATTTTTAGATAAGATCTATCTATCTATCTATCTATCTATCTATCTATCTATCTATCTATCTATCTATCTATCTATCTATTCCAGTCCCTTCAAAATCTATCTATCTATCTATCTATCTATCTATCTATCTATCTATCTATCTGGGTTCATATGTTTCTATCTATGTCAGTCTGTTCATATCTATCTATCTATCTATCTATCTATCTATCTATCTATCTATCTATCTATCTATCTGGGTTCATATGTTTCTATCTATGTCAGTCTGTTCATATCTATCTATCTATCTATCTATCTATCTATCTATCTATCTATCTATCTGGGTTCATATGTTTCTATCTATGTCAGTCTGTTCATATCTATCTATCTATCTATCTATCTATCTATCTATCTATCTATCTATCTATCTATCTATCTATCTGGGTTCATATGTTTCTATCTATGTCAGTCTGTTCATATCTATCTATCTATCTATCTATCTATCTATCTATCTATCTGGGTTCATATGTTTCTATCTATGTCAGTCTGTTCATATCTATCTATCTATCTATCTATCTATCTATCTATCTATCCTATCTATGTCATCTGTTCATATCTATCTATCTATCTATCTATCTATCTATCTATCTATCTATCTATCTATCTATCTGGGTTCATATGTTTCTATCTATGTCAGTCTGTTCATATCTATCTATCTATCTATCTATCTATCTATCTATCTATCTATCTATCTATCTGGGTTCATATGTTTCTATCTATGTCAGTCTGTTCATATCTATCTATCTATCTATCTATCTATCTATCTATCTATCTATGTCAGTCTGTTCATATCTATCTATCTATCTATCTATCTATCTATCTATCTATCTATCTATCTATCTATCTATCTATCTATCTGGGTTCATATGTTTCTATCTATGTCAGTCTGTTCATATCTATCTATCTATCTATCTATCTATCTATCTATCTATCTATCTATCTATCTGGGTTCATATGTTTCTATCTATGTCAGTCTGTTCATATCTATCTATCTATCTATCTATCTATCTATCTATCTATCTATCTATCTATCTATCTATGTCAGTCTGTTCATATCTATCTATCTATCTATCTATCTATCTATCTATCTATCTATCTATCTATCTATCTATCTGGGTTCATATGTTTCTATCTATGTCAGTCTGTTCATATCTATCTATCTATCTATCTATCTATCTATCTATCTATCTATCTGGGTTCATATGTTTCTATCTATGTCAGTCTGTTCATATCTATCTATCTATCTATCTATCTATCTATCTATCTATCCTATGTCAGTCTGTTCATATCTATCTATCTATCTATCTATCTATCTATCTATCTATCTATCTATCTATCTATCTGGGTTCATATGTTTCTATCTATGTCAGTCTGTTCATATCTATCTATCTATCTATCTATCTATCTATCTATCTATCTATCTATGTCAGTCTGTTCATATCTATCTATCTATCTATCTATCTATCTATCTATCTATCTATCTGGGTTCATATGTTTCTATCTATGTCAGTCTGTTCATATCTATCTATCTATCTATCTATCTATCTATCTATCTATCTATCTATCTATCTATGTCAGTCTGTTCATATCTATCTATCTATCTATCTATCTATCTATCTATCTATCTATCTATCTATCCCAGTCTGTCCATATCTATCTATCTATCTATCTATCTATCTATCTATCTATCTATCTATCTATGTCAGTCTGTTCATATCTATATATCTATCTATCTATCTCGATTTGTATATATCTATGTATCGAGATACATACATACTTCTCTTACTCTCAGTATCTATCTATCTATCTATCTATCTATTTTTCGGGGTTCATATCGATCTATCTATCTATGCATCTATCTATCTCGATTTGTATATATCTATTTATCGAGATATATACTTACTTCTCTCACTCTCTATATCTATCTATCTATCTATCTATCTATCTATCTATCTATCTATCTCGATTTGTATATATCTATGTATCGCGATACATACTTCTCTTACTCTCAGTATCTATCTATCTATCTATCTATCTATCTATCTTTTGGGGTTCATATCTATCTATCTATGTCAGCCTGTTCATATCTATCTATCTATCTATCTATCTATCTATCTATCTATCTATTTTTCGGGGTTCATATCGATCTATCTATCTCGATTTGTATATTTCTATTTATCGAGATATATACTTACTTCTCTCACTCTCTATATCTATCTATCTATCTATCTATCTATCTATCTATCTATCATTTGGGGTTCATATCTATCTATCTATGTCAGCCTGTTCATATCTATCTATCTATCTATCTATCTATTTTTCGGGGTTCATATCGATCTATCTATCTATGCATCTATCTATCTCGATTTGTATATATCTATTTATCGAGATATATACTTACTTCTCTCACTCTATCTATCTATCTATCTATCTATCTATCTATCTATCTATCTATCTATCTATCTATCTTTAGGGGTTCATGACCATGGTGCGTATTCTTCAATATACGGTACTCAAATTGTTATTAAATTGAAATGGTTCTCATTCAACAATGATTTAACCCGAGATATGGAATCACTTTAGTCTTTCTCGTTACATAAGATCTGATCCATTCTTATGAAGTCCTCTCAACTCTTCAATACAGAACGACTTCCAATTTACTTGTATCCGTAAACATAAATAATGATGAGCAAATAAACTTTTCGAGTGGCTATCTTAACGGCACTTAAAAGTGATTCTCTCTTAAGATAAGCTTATCATCCGCACTATTCAAAAAATTCGGAATTTAAGTCGAACTGGGCGGGGGGAGGATTTGACTTGCGTCGTTGAGAAATCACATGTTTTTTTTTAGTCAGAAACAACGAAATATTAGGTTGGTGCAAAAATAATGACGTAATAATGTCGTTCTTTGACGTTAAAAAATACGTCAAAAAACGACATTATTACGTCATTATTTTTGCACCAACATAATACATAATGTTAAAATTAATCAGTTGATCCATTATTGAAAATATTGATTGGAAGAATAATCCGATTTGAGAGCGTGAAATGAGATGAATACGTTTCAAATATACATATATATATATATATATATATATATATATATATATATATATATATATATATATATATTTCATATAAATAAAGCTTTCCTGACGATCCGCTTAGGTGAAACCTTGGTAGGTTTGTGTGGCTCTCTAGATTTAACTGCTTTCCTTAACGTATTGAGCACTTTAGTTATTTTGCTTACTCGTATCGGTTTTTTTTCCTTTGGGCTTGTGACTTGCATGATAGACGATTATTTTCGGCTGATGTACATGTTCTTGGTTTTTTCTTTTTTTTTTATACCTTTTTTCCCTTTGGTATTGGTTTGATTATTCGCAAATCAAGACACCGAAGGTTTTTCAGGCGAGTATAATTTCTTATACCTATAAGATGATTACTAGTATATATATATATATATATATATATATATATATATATATATATATATATATATATATGCATAATATAAATACATATATATATATATATAAAACATTAGGCAGCATATGCTTTACATACAAGAATTAATCACACATAGAATTAATCAGAAGTATCAATGCGATTATTGGCGACATCCGTCACTAGAAAACATAATATATGCATTAAAATCCTGTTCATCCATAGTGCGAGTTTTGATCCTTGAAGAAAAACTTGTTGTCTGTAGTTTTTCAGTTTATTCGATGTTAAAATGCTAGTACTTACGGACGGTCTTCCATACATCATCAGGCATGTGTTTTTTTTTCTTATAAAATCAAAAACTTGAGACGATATATCTGTATGTCGACGGAAAGATGTTTTTTGAATATCTGCTATTTTTGAAAAACTTAGCGTTGCGTCTTTGCACGTACGAGATCTTACAACCGTCAATAATAGCTTATTAAATCTGTCCATGTGAAATAACTTTTGTTATTTTAAATACATTTTGAAATACCCTTTGGTATTTTGGTATTATGATCTAGTGTTTAAATTTTATTAAAAGATAAAATTTTAAATACTGATTTTCAAAAACCTCAAGTGAGTCACCAGAGCATGCGGTCGTGATTTATAAGCATCGAGCGAAAACTTAATGGAAAGCAGACAAATGTCGGAAGAATACACTTTTTCTTGCTTTTAAATTCCATCGAGGAAAAAAAAATTGCGAGAGAAAAACACATAGTGAATGTAATTTCAAGTCGTTGCAAATCAAAAACCAAAAACCCCGATGGACATGACAAGAAAAGAAATCGGGGGTTAATTAGACTAGTAATTAACTCGGGTGCTGAAGGCATCAAAAACAGTACCCGATGCTAGAA